CTAAGCTCGTGCTCGGGATCGTTTTTTGACGAGTCCGAGCGGCTTGTGTGCGTGAACAGTACGAGCCGAGCGGGCGAACCGACGAGCCGCTCGGCTCATTTGACACCACTAGTGGCAGACGGGTAGATTTAGAGGGGGGGTGGGGTTCGGAAAGAAGATGAAGTGTGGGGAGTGGGAGTGCAAATTTTTTGTTATTTTATTTTTGATTTAATTATTTTGATTTTTTTCATTATAGAAAATGTAAATTTACATTTTACCATTTTAAAATTAGTCAAAATTTGGTTAACCCATGGCCTTTTGGTCAACTACTAGAGGAACGGATGAAATTTGTCCATTTATTCTTGTGCTGCAACAAAGCAAAAAGTTTGGAACTGTAGATTGTAAAAAATGAAAGATTTGAATAAAGATTTGAAAAAAAGTAAAAAAATTGAAACCGTAACTACAATTATCCCTTTATTTATGGTTTTTAAGCTTTCCATGCATGATTTTGAGACTTTTGAAGATCTATATAAATTAGAAAACCTCTAATTGTATTTGTTACACTTCATAACATCCCATACACCAAGATACAAGTCATTAGAGCTATACATAAAATGAAAATCATCAATATTGTGGAAATTGAAGTAGAAGACAATGCAATTCAAAATCAATGAAGATATACAAAACTTTTCATCTATTTTTCCAAGTTATGTTCGCCATTAAAACTTTATGTTTATGGATTTCACTCATGTTCAGCTAAACTCATTTTTTGCTATGATTAACGATGAAACCTTGTGAACGATCATAATCTCAAACGAGATAACCAGCGTGCCATTGATTCTATTCCATATGAAGCTGGCTTCTTGAATGAATTCTTCCTTTTTTGAATACTGGTCTTCAATCTTTTGTTCAATAACTTTGCCATTAAGGAATCCAACCATGCATTACCATTTAGCATTGAAAATGTAAACACATTGGATCCAACATCTCACATGGGGTGGAGGTAGTAAGTGTATTTTCTCTTTTTAACTGGAAAAATTAAAGTTTGCTTTTTTATTTTTTGGGGCTGTAAATGCACTAACTTTTGCTTTCCCATGAAGTATTAAAAATTCCAAGGCATGGGATAGATTGAAGGGTCCGCATAATTATTGGCACTGATTTGAAATTATGTATTGGTTTGAATTCTTACTCAAGCTTAAGTGTGTGGATTACACGTGTTTACCAAAAAGAACAAATACTCAAATGTACTTTCATATTTCTTCTTATCCATAACTACTGTTCACCCTTTATACAGCTCATGTTTGATGAAAATTAAAATAAGATTTTTAGTAAATCTTGATAGAAGTTGATAAAATATATGGTTAAAAAGTTATATTTAATTAAAATTAATTGTTGAGCTTAATTAGATAAAAATCTGAATTTTATCAGTGCCAAACAGAAGCTGCAAACATTTTGTGAGTCATTACTTAATTATCATTTGTATACACCTAAATAAGCATTATAGAATGGCAAATCACGTCTCCCAGGAATAACAATAATTTTAGGGATAATTACAGCAACGGTACCAAATATTTCATTTAATAGTAGACTTTGTCCAAGTCTTTTATTTGTACAACCTACGGTACCAAGCTTTTCAAAAACTCGTAGCCAGAGTCCAATTTAACAAAAGCTGTTAGTTAGACCGTTAGTTGATCGAATAATTGACCTTATATAAGGTTAAAATGATACATTTATATTTTCTATAATAAAACAATTAAAAATAAAATAATTAAAACCAAAAAAAAAAAACAAACACTACATCTTTTCCACTCATCCCCCACGTACCCACCTTACCCAAATCCAAAACCAAAACTAGGACCTACACATTTTCCTACCATCGCCACCTACCCCACCGACCATCGTCACCCCGACTGCCATGTCCATCTGTAATAATCAATAAAACATTGATCGAAACACCAAAGCCAAAACCCACCCGCTCTACGATCGCTCACCAAATCCATCAAATCCGACAACCACGTTGAAACATTAGATTGAACACAGACTCATCGCTATCTCCACCAAATCCGACGACCACATTGAAACATTAGATTGAACATAGACCCATTGCTATCTCCACCAAATCCTACCCATCAATCGCCATCTACGGTGAAAGAGATTGAAATACCACCGCCACAGCTACAACCACAATAAGAACCCACTAACACCACCACCTACTGAAAAAGAAGAGGAGAAGAGCTTGCCGAATTTAGACCCGACAACTTTATCGCAATAAGCAAGTCCAGATGGAGTAACATTGAACTCATAGGCACCAGATTCATAACCCAATGTCCAGTGTTTTTTTTCATGCTCAATTCATTTACTTGTACAAATTGAGAGTAAGATTTATATTGTGTGTTATGGATTTTAATAGATAGAGTGATAGCGCCGTTGAACGATGAAATGGCACAAGTGGAGGTTTTGGAAGGGTTTTTGTGCTATTAATGAATGGTGGAGTGGTGGTGGAAGAAGTGGTGTCATCGACATAGGGTCGTTGTGGCAGTGGCGCCGACAACAATCGCTAGTGGTTTTAGGGTAAGGGGTTTGGGGAAGAAGGGGATGGTGGTGGGTGGTGTGTTTGTTTTTTCTTATTTAATTATTAATATATTATAATTATTTTTTTGTTGAAAAATGTAAATTTATCATTTTAACCTTATAAAATTAGTCAAAATTATGGTGTCAATTCTTTTGTCAAATAACGGTCAAACCAACAGTTTTTGTTAAATTGGGCTCCGACTGGAGTTCTTAAAAAGTTTGGTACTGTGAATGGCACAAATGAAATGTTTGGACAAAATCTGTTATTAAATGAAATGTTTGATACCACTACTGCAATTGTCCCATAATTTTATGCATTGTTTGACATGATTATATTAGTTTTATTTCTTCTAAAAACAATGAAGTGTCGACAACAATGTCAAATTTTTAATATACAACTAGCATTGTTGAATGTTACTCATATGTAATGCATTAATGAATCAAGAAATCTGCCATCTAAATCCGTGATAGATTACAACTAATGACGATTCATTTTGACCTTATTCTATAGGTTTAAGACATTTCCTTGATACGAGTAGATTGTCCACGGCCCAAATAAACCTTGTTCCATTCCCAATAAATCCTAGATTCTGTTCTTACACGTTAAGCGGTTAAGGTAAGAGAATTATATTTATGGATGGGACTGAGGATGTTAATTGAAGTATGATTTTAAGAACCAAAATAATCCGCTAACTTGATCCAATTCCGATTGACTGGTAGTTTTTGTACAAATGCTTCTATCAGATAAAGAACTTTCTCAATTAAAAAAAAAAATTAAAACCAAATTTGATTTAGTTTGCTTATCTATGATTCAAGGGATTCTGCCGACAGTGAACAGTGAAATTTAACAGTCAAACGCCGTTTTCTTTTCATATTTTCCTGCATAAAATGAAAAATAAAAGCAAAATGCAATACAGTAAATTTTGAAAACAAAGCAATTCCTCACTACGCGGAAACGCGTGAAATTTGAAAGCTGGCACTTGGCTATGTGTGGGCCTATCCGGTGCAGTGCGGCCTTCTTTGTGAAACTCTGTCGGTACATTTTATTTATATATATTACACAAACATTAACTCACTGGGGGCGGGTGAACAGACAGATATTAGCATTTTCTTTTTTTTTCTATACTGTATTTCACTCAAATCAAAACTTGGTATGTGCCAATTTTCCTTCATTTATCTTTTCTTTTTGCCCATGTATGTGCTATACTTTTGGTCACTGTTGTTGAGAATTTGAGATTGATCGACCACCATGGAGCAACAAGTGTGTTTTCTCATTTCGTTTTGCTCAGATAAATTGGAGAGTATATCATGCTTTAACTGTCATTGTCTTCATCCTTTCAAGATTCAGTATTTTCGTGCTTTGCAGTTTAGAACCAATGAACATATTTCTATGCATTTGATATAAGCCTTTTTTCAAAGATTTTAAGTTCCATATTCAGGGCATTAGAGGAATATATTGCATACTTGCTAAAATTTGGATCTAAGAAAATTTGCAATGGATTTGAAAATGCTTGATATATGAAGTGGGATTTTTGCAGGTGTATAGGTTCTGGGGGTCGTCCTCTCTGATTATTTCAATGAAGAAAATGGTGTTTTTCCCATTGATTTTTACAATTTTGGTTTTTTGGAGTGATTCTGTGGTGAAAGCAGAGGATGCTTACAAGTATTTTACATGGACAGTCACTTATGGAACAATTTCTCCGTTAGGTGTTCGTCAACAGGTCAGTAATGGTTCCCATTTTGTAGTGGTTAGCTTGACTTGTTGAATGCTTAAGCTGTTAGAGAGGAAGATTCATCGTGTGCAGGCTGAATTCATTTTTTTCCACTAAGCCTGATACGTGAATAAGTTTTTCCAAATACTTCACTGTCAATATTGATGCAAGGATGAGTTAAGATTTAGATTCCATTTTAAAAGGTCAACTTTGTTAAGATGAGTAATCAAATCCTTTATAAGTTGATTTATGTTTTCATCTTTATTCGACGTGGGATTCTATCCCTTAACATGCCCCACAAAATGGTGCCTCGTTTGAGCAGACCAATCTTGAAATCTGTGCGCTCAATTTTTTTTAGTCTTAATCGGATCGAATTGCTCGTTGGAGCTTAACGGGTTTTGATACCATGTTAAGATTTGAGGTTCTATCTTAAGAGGTCAACCTTGTTAAGAGGAGTAGCACAATCCTTTATAAATTGGTTTATGTTTTCATCTTTATTCGATGTGGAATTATATGCATGTTCTCATACTATGTAAAGCCGGATATCTAAAAGTTTAAGTTAACACATTTATTTATTTTTGTTTTCGACTTCAGTATTGACTGTCTTTATCTGTTTTTTTTTTTTTTTTGGGTGGGAAATTCCAATTTCTGAAATTTTGATGTTTATATTTGAAGGTGATCCTCATCAATGGTCAATTCCCTGGTCCTAAACTTGATCTTGTGACTAACGACAATATAATCCTCAATCTCATCAATAAGCTGGACCAGCCTTTCCTCTTAACATGGTAAGTCCCGTTCTCTTGAAACTCTTAACATCCTCTACTTTTTGTTACAAGCGGTCAAGTTAATTACTCTTAAGACTTTTATTATAGTAGTAATTATTTATCAACCTATGTATTTCCAATTAGGAAAATATAGTTATGTATGTTGTTAGGAATATTGGAACTTTAGTTGTCTATGTAGTGAACCCAGGCTCCATACCAATGATTTGAAATCCTACTGCATTTTGTGCGGGTTCAACTTCAGTAGACTATTTCCATTTGAGAATCACGTCGGTTGGTTGGCCATGTTTACCATGTTTATCATCAAGAATTTTGTATAAGATGTATACTTACAAATGACTTGAATTCTACTATTAGGAATGGGATCAAACAGAGGAAGAATTCTTGGCAAGATGGTGTTTTAGGAACTAACTGCCCGATTCCTCCGAATTCAAACTACACATACAAGTTTCAAACTAAAGATCAAATTGGAAGCTACACTTACTTTCCATCAACTCTGATGCACAAAGCAGCTGGTGGATTTGGAGCTCTCAATGTTTATGCAAGATCAGTCATTCCAGTTCCATATGCCAAACCTGCCGGAGATTTCAGTTTACTCATTGGTGATTGGTACAAGACGAGTCACAAGGTGAGACTTGAACATAATCGCTCATTGTGTATTTATTGGTTTTACTGTAATTGAGGTAGAATTGTCTGAACTTTGTTTTCCTGTAAATGGAGTTATTGCATCCTTCAATTTGTTTTGTTTTTCTTTTAATTATTAAGCTCTTTCACTATGAAGTATTCAGTAAGAAGTCAATAATTCTCTACTTGTTGGTTGAATAGATTAGAATAAATCCAGGTGCCTGTGAAATTTTGGTTTCCAATAAAGTAGCGCCTCTTGTTTTTATTTTCTTTTGAGAAAAATAATTGTATCTGCCCATAAGCTCCAAAATTTCTAAGTATAGATAAGTACAAGGTTTATTTTCTTCTCAAAATGACCATTTTGAAACGGCAAACACTGATAGAAAATGATGTTAAATTTAGACATTCTTACCCCAGGCTCGTCTTACTTCTGGGACTTTGATAAGAAGGATAGCTTCTGTTAAAGAAGTCGAAAGAAAGTGATTTATCTCAAAAATGCAATGTGAAATGAAAATTTATTCAAGAAATTGTACCTGTTTCCACGTTTAATTTCTTTTCTTGTGATATACACTTCAAATAACAATGGCAATATGTTGCAGGGCTTGCAGCTAACACTTGATTCTGGGAAGTCTTTGCCCTTCCCCGATGGCATCCTTATAAATGGGCAGGGTCGGTCTTCCTTCAGTTGTGACCAAGGTAATCTTCCTAGCTTTAGTATTCAAGTTGTGAAGCCTTCATGTTCTCGGAATGATGTAAATTTGTTCCATTTAAATTCCTAATTCTATCTTGCTAAATTTCCAGGTAAAACCTACATGTTCAGGATTTCAAATGTTGGGTTATCCACTTCCTTTAACTTCAGAATTCAGGGGCATAAAACGAAGTTAGTCGAGGTTGAAGGATCAAATGTACTTCAGAACATATATGATTCACTTGATGTGCATGTCGGTCAATCTGTATCTGTTCTAGTCACCTTGGATCAGCCTCCAAAAGACTATTACATTGTTGCATCTACAAGGTTCACAACAACAGTTCTTACTACCGCAGCCGTGTTGCACTATACAAACTCTCAGGCTCCTGTTTCTGGACCACTGCCGGCTGGCCCGACTGATGACATACTATGGTCCATTGACCAAGCCAGAAGCTACAGGTACACCCTCGCAGAATTTTAATTTTTCTGTACTATAAATCGACACATTGTACTTTGCCAAATACTACATCATTTGAGTTTTGTACTTCGCCTATGATGTGACATTTATCTTTGTATGAGACTTTGGAATTGTTTCTTTCTTATACAATAATTTCACTAGATAATATGTGTAAATTTAATGAATTTGGGGTCGGCTATATGAATTATCAAATGCAGGTGGAATCTGACATCTAATGCTGCAAGGCCGAACCCTCAGGGTTCTTTCCATTACGGAAGTATTACACCATCACGGATAATTAGGCTTGCCAACTCGGCTCCTATTATCAACGGGAAACAGAGATATGCAGTAAACGATGTCTCTTACACCAATGCAGACACCCCTCTAAAGCTTGCTGATTATTTCAACATCTCCGGCATTTTTAGCTTGAATTCCATCCAAACTGTTCCCTCTGCTGGTTCGCCTCACCTAGCTACGTCCGTGATGCCATCTTCTCATCATGAATTCATTGAAGTTGTTTTTCAAAATAATGAGAACACAATGCAGTCTTGGCATCTTGATGGTTACGATTTCTGGGTTGTAGGGTAAGGCACCATATCTTCATGAACTAGTAATTAATTAACATGAAAGAATGAGTTTGTAAATTGCTGTTCTTCTTACAAATGTCAGGTTTGGATCGGGACAATGGACACAAGACAGCAGAAAGGGATACAATCTTGTCGATGCTCTGACCAGACACACAACACAGGTAACTCCAAGTTTCACTCAGTTATATATAGGGTCATTTTCAAAAAAGTTCTCCATTACAACTCTGCTCACAGCTTACAATTAAGTATCAACAACTACAAATTAGTCTTGTTCCCAACAATTGTGGAGTTGGTCACATGAATCCCTTTTTTCTGCTCCGTATAGTTCATTGCTAGATTTACTAGGACATTAAAAGTAAATAGACCCTCAAGAACTACACACCATGTTTATTTTGGCATGTCTTTCCTCGTTCTATGAGGATCGCACTACCTATATGAACATGAGCATCTTTGAAGAAAATGCGATTATAGCATGCCATGTTCTATTTTGGTATGTATTTCCTCTCCTAACTAGTTCCACCAAGATCGAGTCACTTATATGAATGGGAGTATCTTTAGGTCCTGCATAAAACTTGTCCCAACTACATGAGTTGTACTTTCCTTAATTTACACTCACTTGGAGTTCTCATTTCTTATCTTATCCATGTGAGTATGACCACACATTCGTTTTAACATGTTGATTTCTCCTAAATTCATCTTAGCGACATAGTTTACAATCAAATACACTGGAATAATATATTTCATTCAAATCACACACAACAAAATCTTATGTATTTCGTGAAATGTCGTGCAGGTGTATCCCAATTCTTGGACAGCTATATTGGTGTCCTTGGATAACCAAGGAATGTGGAATGTGAGATCTGCAATGTGGGAAAGGCAATACCTTGGACAACAATTTTATCTGAGGGTGTACAATCCAGTTCCCAATTTTGCCAATGAATATGACATTCCTTCTAATGCTATACTTTGTGGTAAAGCCATTGGGAAACGTCCTTAGTTTTATGATTTATTCAGTGTAGCTTGTATTTCAGTCATCAGAGCTTGACTGTTTTTTGGGTTCGTTGTCATCGTAGTTGTAGTTCCTTAGTTGTAAGTCTCGATCAAGTTGGGTTATTCAGATTTGCTATACGTATTCTAAAGCCGACTTTTTTCATGCTGGTGGTGGTTATTCATCACGAGACAACATTTTGGTAAGGGCAATTGCTGACAGTAGTAACAGAAAATGAGGATTTATTGTATTGTATACTGTATGTCCCGATCTTGATGCAAATTTTTATTTTGCACACCCTCAGCCGTTTTAGAATCTGAAGGTGTCTACTATGTGAGATAAGTGTACAAGTAACTCCATCATAAGTTTCGTATTTTATTTTTCTAACAATTAACATCACTACTTTGTTGGACATATATGTAAAAAATGAATTCTTATCTGAAATGGAGCAGGTCATCATATATTTGTTGGGACATTTCATTGTTTGGGTATGCATTCAAACCCCGACTGGTAAGTACATAAATAAATAAAGAGCATGAAAAGAAATCAAGAATTCAAAGAAAGTCTATGTATAAGATTGTAATTGTAAATTTGTAGTGTGATAATAGATATTTAATAATTGAAAATGAAGGTATAAATGAATGTAGTAGATTGTAGAATGTGGAAGACAGTGAGAATACCCCCCCCCCCCCCCGGCCCTTTTTTTTTTTGCTTGCGGTTTTGCTGTTAAACTGTAGTTTTACTAATAAAATTACAGAGACACATGAATGTGTGTCCCATCCATGAATGTGAAATAATGTGCTGGTTGTGTATTATTAGAACATTAAAAAAATATATAACCGATGGAAGGACAAATAATTTAAAACAAGGTTATTGAGTTACTCAACAAACATCGACACATTTTGATTCTTGTTCAATCCGTAGTGTCATTATGGTTCTTTGATACAAAAATGTTATTGAGTCTGGATGTAATGTTACAGGTTCAATTAACATTGCATCAAGTGCTTAGAACATATATTTATATTGGGTTCTATGCAAATAGTCTTGCACTAGAAGTTACGTAGTTTGAACATGAAAATATTTCCTTTCAAAGTTAAAGATATAACACCCTAATATTTTTGCAAATCGGTAATCAATTTTTTTTTTTTTTTATATTAAGAAAATANTAATTATTTTTTTTTTTTTTTATATTAAGAAAATATTCTATTGTATCGGAACGAAGATTGTTTCTACTTACCCCCAATGTACTTCGGTTAAAGATATTATTTTACATAGGAGACGAAATGTTGGTTGTCCGCTATTTTTAGAGGCAACTCAGCACCAACAACAAACTTCACTATTCCTGTTCAAACTTTCCCCTCAAAAAAATCCACATGCAAAGTGAAATAGAAATAGAACCGACAATTGGACTACCAAATTGCAATTACGTTTCACACGCACCAAGAAATCCATGTTTGGCCACACATGTTTGCAGTAACAGTAGAGGCAGGTAGTACCAATGCCCTTTTACCATTCTAATCATTGTTAAAAGTATTTACATACTTCTTTAGACTTTACGACTTCATCAACCACACGACTTGTTGGAATCAATTTAAAGTGATCCAAACATTTTCCTTATTCGCTTTCGTCTTGCATCGAGAATATTAATTCTTCTTCCTCCTCCTATTCTGCTTCGGGAACATCAACTTCATCCAAATCAATAGGATTACAACTTCCGTGAGTATCGAAATCTGAAATATTTTCGGAAATGGGTATTTCATTGAAACCCGCAAATTCATTCTGATATTGACTTTGTGGCTTCATAAGTGATTCATCTCCAATACCGAACAAGTCCTAAAAAATGCCTGCAGATCCATTTGTGAATTGTGATGAAATGTAAAGAATATTAATTACAATTTATATAGTATAGATTGTATAGTAAATAAATAAATAAAGAGCATGAAAAGAAATCAAGAATTCAAAGAAAGTTTATTTATAAGATTGTAATTGTAAATTTGTAGTGTGATAATTGATTTTGAATAATTGAATTTGAAATTGAAGATAGAAGTGAATGTAGCAAATTGTAGAATGAGGAAGAGAGTGAGAATTGTTGTTGGCGTTTGAAAAATTTGAAAATGGGTTGAAGTATTTATAGAATAAGAAAAAGAAGAAAAAAAGTAAAGTGGCCAAAACAGCCACCTTTGTAAGTTCAAAAGGTCGGTTAACTTATATAGTGACCAAAATGGACACTTTTTTTTTTTGTTAAAAAAGTGACCGTTTTGGTCATCGAAGTGGTAAGTACGAATCTGAGCCGCCCACGAGTTGAGTTGACGAGCCACTGGGCTCGTTTGACATCTCTACCTTAAGTAGCTCGCGACTTTCAATTGAAATGAAACCAAACGTAGAGTTATTTAACAATTTTGCTCTTTAGCGGTTAGTCATGGAAAGTCGCATTTGATAGTAATGTTTACAATGATGATTTCAATCGTTTAGTGACCAAGATTTACCAATTTAAATAAGTTGATGAACCACAATCTTATTTTTTTAAAATGTTTAGAATCTATAACAACGCTGAATGAAAAGTTGAAGAGTTTAACCCCAATTTACCCATGGTAATATCTCTATTTTTTTATCACATTTATTTATTTGTTTTTTTTTAAATATTTTTGAATTTAAACTCATTTACAACGGGTTAGCAAAACAATTTTAGCCTTTATTTGACCGCCATTATTTCTAAATTCCTTATTTTTCATATTCATTTTTAATCATATTTTTATATAGTAAAATATTTTACTCGTAAAATCAAAATATCTAAAACTTCATTTTTTTGAAAATAAGGGTTTAAATGTCTGAAGAGAATATTCGAATCTTGAAACATGTGATGTGAAGCCTGTGTCGTGTCTACGTCTTGTAACGATTGGTCCGTGCAATACACGTTCAATTATGCGAGTTAATACGATTATCATTATGGGTAGCCCTTCAAGAGCTCAAAAAGCTATTATCATTTTTCAAAACTGTCCAATTTAAATTATATATCCCAGTCGTATACAGAGCACGTGAGTCACGCTCTGAAAGAAGATTCTTTTCTATCTTCAAATTTTCTCGTGATTCGTCGAATCCATAGAGAATAGACGAGACTGGTCTAGAATCTAGTAGAGAGAGAGAGAGAGAGGTGGTAATCCAATTTTGTCCCCCGCAATTTTCCATCGTGCCCAATTTCATCCTTATCACAATTTTTATGGGTGTCCAATTTCATCCTTATCTTCTTTGTCCTCTTCGCATGTTCATTACATAGAAATGATTATTTAATATTTTTATCGTTATATAAATATTCAAGTTACTTTTTTTCCACATACTTTAAAAGATTAACAAATATTATTTTCTTACTTACCACTCATTTATATCTATTATAATTTAATTTGTTTATTAAATAATCCCAAATATAATTTTTAAGTTGTTCAAATTTGATATCTAAAATAAATTTTTCTATATGAAAGATATATGAAAATGAAATGTATTGTTCATAATACGAGTTAAAATCTAAAGAAAACAATAGTTAATTTTAACATGAAATTAACTTTTTTTTTTTTATAACAAATGTAACAATTTCATTGATTTTTTTTTTTTAAATTCCAAGAATAGACGTACTTTATTTGAAAAACATTTTGTTGAGGCCTTTTATCATATCGTTGCCAACCTCAAGAGAACTTCTTATTGAGAATTTTGTTCATATGTTGAATCCCTTTTTAATGGCGTGTCATAAGGATTTTCGATGTTGATCCTTTGACGTTCAAGTCAGAAGCGAATTATAAAATAAAATGGAGAAAGGCTAATTGCTAACCAATTTTAGCGAACTAGTTTATTAGATTATTCTTGTCGATGGAGTAAGTTTTGTTAGTTCCGCATTAGCATATGAAAAAATTGGAGTATTGGATTGGACCTCGAGCAAAAAGGCAAATAAAGCTTGTTGCCCATTCTTATATGGGCTAGTTGCCGATTTTGTTTAGTGAAAATTACCCAATCCCTACTTTTGGAGATTCAAATTCTAAAATCAGATTTTAAGGTTTAAGT